TTATTAAAGTCTTTACGCTTACTTTCCGAGAGATTCCGATCCGACACATATCAACGATCTTTCCGACCGGATCCGACACATATTAACTTTACGCTTACTTTTCGAGAGATTCCGATCCGACACATATCAACGTCTTTCCGCTTACTTTTCGAGAGATTCTCGGATCCGACACATATAACGTCTTTTACTTTCCGAGAGATTCCGGATCCGACACATATTAACTTTACGCTTACTTTTCGAGAGATTCCGGATCCGACACTTATTAACGTCTTTACGCTTACTTTCCGAGAGATTCCGGATCCGACACATATTAACTTTACGCTTACTTTTCGAGAGATTCCGGATCCGACACATATCAACGTCTTTACGCTTACTTTTCGAGAGATTCCGATCCGACACATATTAACTTTACGCTTACTTTTCGAGAGATTCCGGATCCGACACATATTAACGCTTACTTTTCGAGAGATTCCGGATCCGACACATATTAACGTCTTTACGCTTACTTTTCGAGAGATTCCGGATCCGACACATATTAACGTCTTTACGCTTACTTTTCGAGAGATTCCGGATCCGACACATATTAACGTCTTTACGCTTTACTTTTCGAGAGATTCCGGATCGACACATATTAACTTTACGCTACGTTTCGAGAGATTCCGGATCGACACTTATTACGTCTTTACGCTTACGTTCGAGAGATTCCGGATCCGACACATATTAACGTCTTTACGCTTACGTTTCGAGAGATTCCGGATCCGACACATATAACTTTACGCTTACTTTTCGAGAGATTCCGGAATCCGACGACATATTAACTTTACGCTTACGTTTCGAGAGATTCCGGATCCGACAATATTAACGTCTTTACGCTTACGTTCGAGAGATTCCGGATCCGACACATATTAACGTCTTACGCTTACTTTTCGAGAGATTCCGGATCCGACACATATTAACTTTACGCTTACTTTTCGAGAGATTCCGGATCCGAGACGCTTACTTTTCGAGATTCCGGATCCGACACTATTAACGTCTTTACGCTTACTTTTCGAGAGATTCCGGATCCGACACATATTAACGTCTTTACGCTTACTTTCCCGAGAGATTCCGGATCCGAACATATTTACGTCTTTACGCTTACTTTTCGAGAGATTCCGGATCCGACACATATTAAACTTTACGCTTACTTTTCGAGAGATTCCGGATCCGACACATATTAACGTCTTTACGGCTTACTTTTTTCGAGAGATTCCGGATCCGACACATATTAACTTTACGCTTACTTTTCGAGAGATTCCGGATCCGACACTTATTAACGTCTTTACGCTTACTTTTCGAGAGATTCCGGATCGACAGATTAACGTTCTTTTTTTACGCTTACTTTCACGAGAGATTCCGGATCCGGACACATATTAACTTTACGCTTACTTTAGATTCCGGATCTTATTAACGGCTTTACGCTTACTTTTCGAGAGATTCGGATCGACACATATTAAGGTCTTTACCTTACTTTTCCGAGAGATTTCCGGATCCGACACATATCAACGTCTTTACGCTTTACTTTCGAGAGATTCCGGATCCGACACATATTGACGTCTTTAGCTTATTTTTCCGAGAGATTCCGGATCCGACACATATTAACTTTTACGCTTACTTTTCGAGAGAATTCCGGATCCGACACATATTAACGTTTACGCCTTACTTTTCGAGAGATTCCGGATCCGACACTTATTAACTTCTTTACGCTTACTTTTCGAGAGATTCCGGATCCGACACATATTAACTTTACGCTTACTTTTCGAGAGATTCCGGATCCGACACTTATTAAACGTCTTTACGCTTACTTTTCGAGAGATTCCGGATCCGACACATATTAAGTCTTACGCTTACTTTTCGAGAGATTCCGGATCCGACACATTAACGTCTTTACGCTTACTTTTCGAGAGATTCCGGATCCGACACATATTAACGTCTTTACGCTTACTTTTCGAGAGATTCCGGATCCGACACTTATTAACGTCTTTACGCTTACTTTTCGAGAGATCGATCTCTTTCTCTTCCTCTCTCTCTCGATGGCGGGAAAGAATATAAACCTTAATTCTATCCCTCCAGCGCAAGTTTAAAAATCCATCCGGTCGGTATGACTTAGTGTAACTTAATTACGGACATTAACGGCGATAATTCTTAGGCGTGTTATTCATATGATAATCTTTAAGACCCCGAGCCAGATGTTGGAACCACACAGTGTTGCCAGAACCCGGTGATCTCGCCAACCTTTCCCTCCGCTCGCCTCTGCCACCTCACTGACGCGGGTCGTAAACAAGGATTTCTTACACGAATCCTCTAATTAATTTATTAATTTGGCGACAACCATGTGAAAATAGAANGCTTGGAAGAGAAATCCCAACAAGTACCATTAAAAATTCCAAAGGAGTTTTAGAGTCACTCCATCTCTATCAATATCAGACATCTAAAAGATTAATGCAGAAGCCTGTCCTGTTAGACAATATGATGTAAACAAAATATCTTAGACATAAATAAAAGGAACTGTCGCTTAATATATCTTTACAAACTTATTTCAGAATTATTTTTTTCAAAACAGTCTAGTGAAAAAAGACAACAATAATAATGATAATAATTACAATGCTTTGAATTTTAACTGATCAAAATAAGGAAAAACTGTACCATACACATTTAACAAAATCTACAGCCATTTCAACCATCTTTTCAAACTACTTGAAAATATGCAACAATTCAATATGTATTTGTGCATTCCAGGAAATGTATTACAAAGACTATATAATTATTTGCATATGAACAACAGTCAAGGTGTGAACAAAATAATAACCAAACTGTGCTTTGCATCAGAGAAGGATGCTGCTAACCTAACAATGATAATCATAATGAAATCTGTGCTTAGAAAAGAAGTGTGACACTAACACAAATTAACTTTCCTTTACTAACATAATGTTTATTATATCATTGGTTTAAACATTAAAGGATATATCTTACTTTTTACATTACATCATATAATGACCAAATCAAAACAGATGCTGAAGGATATAATGTCATCTGATTTTCCTTGATGTTCAATTGTGTTAAATCTGTCAATTTTCTTTTTTTTTTTGGGGGGGGAATGAATGGTGCTTATTTGTATGCATTTGTTTGTACACAGAACATAATAAAACATCTGTACACAAAGAATAAAGCTTAAATGAGGGTTCAATACATTACCATCTACAATTACAATGGGTGAAGTCTCCTTAGGCATGGGGATATATTAGTATATCTCATTCTTGGATTAATTTCAGAAGTATTTACACAAACCTGCTTCCTCTGGTTTCAGTATCACCCTTAACCAGTCATCACCTATCCTACATCAGGGTAAAGGATAAAACACAAATCTTCATTTCTATCACAGATCTTTTTAAGTACTGCATTCAAGTGTATTCAAAGCAAGTACCTATATTTCATTATAGAAATTGATTTCATAGTCACTTGATTCAATCTGTTTCAGAAAGTAAAGGGAGAAATCTTTATCGTTTTTCTTACAGGGAGAAGTCGGGCTTTGGTGTGTGGAATACTCATGTATATCACTGTCATTACTAGCCCATAAAAATATTGCAAAAATCACTTCTCCCGAGACTCATGCATTAGCATACAATTTGTTTCTTGCCAAAACTATAAAAATCTATAAGGAAATGAACATCATAAAAAACAAAACTTTTGTGTCTAGTGCCAATACAAAAATTACAAAATTACAGTCACATTATGATAGTCTAAACTTTAACTGAGCCACACTCAACCCATTGCTACCAGATACACAAAATTACTGCATTTGTGAATTTTGTTTACACATTGATGGCTCCCCAAGTGTTCTGTCATCAATAAGTCAATTAGGTGGCCTTATGCAATCATGCCTGATTTCCCCATGATCCTTTTATTATTGATAATGTTATTATTAATGAACTATCATTATTTAATATCATAAACATAATAAAAGACAATTTTTTTCCTTTATTTTTACAAAAATCTAGGAAAAGAGAAAAGAGATAAGATAAGTAGGGCTAGCAATTGATTCCTTGGTGACTAAGCCCTTGTGTATCTGTCCATTTGTAAACACAATCAATCAACTAAAATCACATTTGACAGTTTTTTGCAATGGGCTAAAACTGACAAACACCCAGGACATCACCTGTGTTATAATCAGCACATCAAGTACTGATGAGTGACCTACTATCCCTAGATATCCAATAACATATCCTGCAGCATTTAGGTTTTAGTGGGTGTTTTCTACATGTCATACCTTCATCCTTACCAATTACATCACAAAGTGTTGTGTTGACACATCAAACTCTTTACATTATTTCTAAATAAGGCATGTAAAGGGTATTAATTCCAGAATAAAACCTTACACACTGGTTAAAATAAAAATAACAGGGAGATGAAGACTATATTTGGTAATGAAGAGGATAGTATGAGGAGCCCAAAAGTATGGCTTGTCATCAAGGAATATTTTTCAAACCCTTATGGAATCTGAAAAAAAACTTATTTACACCACTGGGCTTTTGAGGCAACATTTCACACTATTAGCATCTGGAATACGTGAGAAAATTGTTCCTCTTAAATATGTAGAGCAGAGGAAAGCCTTCAAACACAATGACTAAATCAGATGCTGATGAAAACATGCATTACATGATAACGAGAACTTTACAGTAATTCCATCATTCTTTCACTCTCTCAGACAACTCCATTCACACTCTAAGGCTTAACCTAGGCACAATCTGTCTTTCAATAACTTACAAGAGGAGAGAGGAAATAAATTGGGCAATGGGGAGGGAAACAACATTTGTTTCTATGCTTTGGCGACAGAACATGTACTGGGTCCCAACAGCATCAGTGCCAATGGGTAATGGAATGGACCTGTAATGTCACAGAAGGTTCTGCAGAGACCTCACTGCATCTTTGAAATTTCAAACTTTGAGGTGACAATTTCCTGAAAGAGGAAAGAAAAGTTAGCTTTATTTTCAAAAAATAAAAAATAAAAAAAATAAAAAATATATTTTTTTTTAATCAAAAGAACTATCACTAAAGGTTTGCTGTATAGAAACCCAAATCAACCTTAACTTTGTATGTAGGTAAAATGCACGTTCATTACAAATATTTTCTATTTACCTCATCTGAGTCCAGAATGGGAAGAGCACTGAAAAGAAAAGACAGGGAAAATAATTTCATTATCATATTTCCTCTATTAACCCACTAAACAGGTGTCCCACATATGAGACACCCGATAAAATAAACATTGCCGGGCGTCCCGCCAGTGTGACGCTGTATCGGGGCTCACCCTCCGACACAGCAGCGGGCAGGCAGAGTCCAGCGCAGGGGCTGCCCCAGACTCTGCAGATTTTATAGCAGCCAGGAATCTTTTATTTTCAGCTTTAATGGGTTAAGTCATCTCCATACGCTTTATTCATACATAAAATGCATCAGAAAAAATGATAAACACAAGACAATCTAAAAGCTTACCTATCAGCAATAGATGATGGGATATTTTCCTCAACCCACTTCAAATCATCTTCCTGCAAGTTGAAAATCACAACATGATCAAATATTCAGAGGCAGAAATTTTCAGTCACAAACACACACCAAAATATCAAAGACAAAATTTGCAACAGGATAAAATGATTCTGTTCTTGAGTCAACAAATAAAGAAATCCCAAAAATCTCAATTCCAAAATAAACCCATCTAGAAATGCATATAGTCATGAATGTACAATAAACAAGCACTTTATTTCCACTCCCTTATCTATCCTACAATCCTTCTATTCCTATACTATACAGTATTTGCCGATATGCATCCTCCTCCCATTAAGTCCCCCTATCCCTCTCCTCCCACTCTTATTTAACACACCCCATCCTCTCCTCCTTCATCTGCACTATTCCCTCTTCATTTCCCATTATCCTTACCTCTCCCACCTGAATACTCACCTAATCTTTTCTGTCACAACAGTCCTTCTCCAGATCCCTCCCCTCCTGACACTCCTTGTCATACTTCACCACCTTCCCGGTCGCCTTACTTCATCCCCCAGATTCTTCTCCAACAGCCATCTCTACCTGTATTACTAGTTGATTATTTCATAATAGCTCTTTTGCCAGTTTTCCTTAAACAATGTTCCTATAGCTTCCCTAACCATAGATACACTTATTTCATCCATATGCCTAGCGCCCTTAACCCTTTCCTTTACTAATCTCAGATATACTTCCTTTGCACCCCTCTTTACCCTTTTCCCTATTATACTATCCTATAACACTCAATAACCTTTGACATTAAACAGATCATATCCCAATCGTTAACTTCCTTTAATGCTTTTCACTACAGTACTTCACCATAGTGCTATATGACCTTTGATGTCTAGCACATTTAATTGTTTCAACCATTAACTATTAACCTCTCAACATACCACAGAGCGCGATTCCCGAGGTGATGATGAGGTCGAATTACGCGTATTTCGGAATTTCATCGTATCAGAAATCAGCATCAGCTTCTCTCAGCTTCCTCTTCATCATCAGCATCTGATCCATCGTCTAATAAGGGTGAGAAGGCAAAGCGCTGAAAAAAAGAAAAAGGATTTTATACTCCTACTTGGCTTACAGACAAGAAAATAAAATAAAATCTACTTTTTCCTCTTCTACCTCCTCTATTCCACCACCATCTTCTTTACCTCTCCTTACTTTTCTTCACTCCACTCCTTCTTTATCATCAAATTACACTCATTTACATGGATATACTTACCTAAAGCCATAGCACTAAAATTGTCAAGTCAATATGTCAGGACATTTTCTGGCACTCCACCTTATCAATTCCACTTTGCCCACCACATAGCTCACCTGGTTGTTATTGGATGGCCGCCAAAGGATCATAATCACCAGGAGGACCACAGCAAAGAGAACATGCCAATAAGCATCATCTACCCAGAGCTCCTTCCAGTCAGTAAGACATTTTTCGAACTGGTGATACCTGCCAAGTAAACAATACACTCACTGATGATATGTCTTAATCAATTAATGTTGCTTGAATTTGATCAGATCATCAAACTGGTCAGGACTTATTCAATTTGGATGATTGGACCTAGCATTGGATGCACCTTTACTCTTCCTTCTTTACAGAATAAAATCTAGAACTAGGGGGAACACATTTAGCATTTTGAAATGCGCAAAAATTGCAATAAATATGTTTATATATTCAACACAAAAAATGGTTCATACTACATTCTAAGAAAAGCATTTTATCAGGAAGTCAGGCAACACTGTGGGCAGAGATGTGATGTGTATGACTAGACTCAAGCACTGACTAACAGCCAGCACTTTGGTTTACATTACTGAGCAATGGGTTCTGATAGAAGAATGATCAAATGATTGTCTCATCTGGCCAGCAATTTATGCTGTTAGTCTGATAACATAATTCTACATCAGCTTAGCAAAATGAGTTAAAACAAGCCAACATTACAGAGAAAAACACGCAAGTACCACTACTGAAGAAACATGGTTCTGGTGTCAAGACAAGATTCTCCTGCATGAGGTGACATCTAAATGTATTATAACCGCATCTACACAAACGAACACATCCAGACATGCCCAGGATATGTCAATTAGGGCCATCCTGCCTTTAGCACACAACTGAGAGTAGTTCAGTGATGAAAGGACTTTTCAAGGTAGTGGGGAGAGTTTCAGAGTTTGTGCAATGGCCCAGTTCTGTGTCACACTAATATCCAAAGTACATAGTAGGTCTGTCTAACATTCATTGTGATGGTTTAAAGAAAGAAATATACTTTCTTCCAAGTTAAAACAAAACAAAATTTCATTAATCTACATTTGCTATTAACTTCAGGAACTCATGAATGAAATGTAATAATTTCTTGTGTGACCGTGTCCTTGCCCCAAATCCTAGACAGTCCAATGTTTATCAGTACAATGTTATAAACATATTAGAATGCCCAGGTGATTTCCCTCAAATAAATCCTAAAGAAAAAATAAGGAATATCATGAAAAACAAACACTTAGGAAGCTTTGCTATTTTGCTAATCTAGCTGAATTAAAAAACAGAAATTCAGGAGGTAATGCAGCAGAAAGGCAAAAAGTTAAGTACAAAAGCTTTGGAAATGCCTACATTAAAAGTCAAACAAACCAAATATTTATATTTCTAACTTTTCCAAAGTGTTTAAAGCAAAAAATATATAAATTCTGCACTTGAACTCTGGCATTAATAATATATCACAGTTTCAGGGGAAATGCATGATTGTGACTGCACCAACAAATGCAATATCCATAAAATAATATGATACTCTCATAGAACATCCACTTATAAATACTCCTAAAATGAAACTACTAAACTATCAACTGTGCAAAATAATTTTCAACTTTCACCATTCTACATACTGTTTGCCATTCTATCCAGCATCTAGCACTCATCCCCCCTTTGCATGTCATGGAAAAATTGAGTGAGGCCCAGGGTAACAGCAACACCCATCATAAAAAATTTAGCTGAAGGCCGGGATGACGGAAACGACTCCCTGAATGCACAAGCTCTTGGAGGGTGATTAGACTCAGTGGGCATTTACAAAGAGGCTCTTGCATTATTTCCATAAGTAACAAGTGTGGGTTTTACACCATAAGCCATGACTGGAAGAGTGCTGACTTAAGGGGACTGTCCCAGGAATGACCACCTTTCCTACTCATTTATCATAAAAAAATTGGTTGAAATAGGTCATTGATTCTTTTTTGCATAATATAGAGCATAGAATTGTGCTTCGTCTCATATATAATTTTGCTGGTTGAACAAAGAGTGCTATTTTTGGTCTGTTTTTTCAGCATCAAAAATTAAAAATTTTGATCAAAGTCAAAATTTAAAAATCAGCTATTTACACTGCCTCAGGGCTCCGAGCTCTAGCGAAAGCAACAAACTGCATTTGAATCGCACAAAAAATACAAGCGTGGTGATGTACCAAAGGTAAAGTAAACAAAGACCGGAGAAACGGCGTATTATATTTTGGCACCTTGCCAAAGTTTGTATCTCTGTTATTTTTCTCTAAAATTAATGATGTTATATATCAAAAAAGCTTATTTAGTGTACTTTGTGATGCAATGATTACCAGTCAATTAGAATTATCATTTTCAATAGGGACACTTTCCTATAAAGGATTTTTTTTTTTTTTTTTTTTTTTTTTTTTTTTTTTTTAGTAGACATTTTGTCTGAAAAGTTTAATAAATGCATTTTACCAAAGAGACACGATCTAAACCAAATAAAAAACTTTTTTTTCTCTCTCTCTCTTCTATTTTTAATAAATGGAACTATGTATGGCAATATCAATACAAAACATCCTAGTTCTAAAGTCCTAGCATGAATACAACATGGCAGTTCAATTTTGAGAATTTTAAAAGCCTATGAATTTAGTACATGGAATTTGAGAACTTACTGAAGACGCTGAATTTTTCCCATACTCCACAAAAGGGGGGCGGGGAGGGGGAGATGGTCAATGGGTGTTTATACTTTTCGAGGAGGATCAAATGTTCATAAACACACACGAAGTTAAAAAATTAATCATCCTCATCTAATAGGCCTATACTGACTTTTATATCTAAAGGAATAAAGTATATTAGCTACCCTATAAACCGTTTTCTTCAATAATTGTCAATATTAACAGTTGCAAAGGCAAACCCATTACCTTTACAGACACCTAGATGTGGTTGGATATTTGCAAATTTACGGTACCTAAGACCTACGGTAACGCTAAACATATTATTCTTTATCGGGAACGCATGAAACAGATGCGATACCTTTTTCAACTCTTGATGAAGACTGCGCCCATAATCGAGTTCAAAATTCATATAGTTTTTATTTCAGAGTGGGCATTACTGTGTACTATCATCTTCAATATGAAATAATCAGTATCTTGCTTATACATCAGAAGTTCCAAAATCTGAATATTTGGTAACCTTCGTATTGAAGCCCTCTTTACAGCTGTAATGACCAATTTCAAATCAAATCAAATTTACCGATGCTGTGATGTACCGACCGTTGAGCAGAATGTAACAGAAATATTTCATTTCTTACTTATACGGCTATTTTCAAACGTTAGTGCTTCATATGCAGTATATGTACAGATTACTCCATAACTTATAACGTATTACCAGGGAGTCTCGATGGAAGCATATTTCATGTGTAAAAGGACACAAAACTTAAATTTTTTTAGATATATTTCACAAAATATTTCGTCAAAAATCACAGTGATATAATTTTTTTCTGATACTGGTATAAAAGTGTTCCTTGAACATTCACAAACTCATATCTATGCACAATGTCATAATCAAATACTGTATCCACTTTTGCAACAAGCAAAAGTCCACATAGGTGTACCTGAGCACTCATTAGCGACGTACCTCTCCAGGTGTTTAGCAGGTCTTGGGTTCAACTGTCCGGGAACTAGCCTCAGCAGGGCTTTAATACTCGTTTGGTAGTTTCTTCATCCATGTACCTATATTATACGCTAGCTAACTCAATATGACCCCCTGTCCCCCCCTCATCTGGGCCGGTCCCCTCAAGGAGGGTCCAATTTCTTACACAAAAAAAATCTTACTTATTGTTCTCATCACTGCAGAGAGTTATAAACTACCTATAGAGCCTCTACAAGGAAAATTGTCTAATACCATGTAGATACAGTATAACAAAAGAAAAATATAACCTCGAAAAAAGGCAAAAACACAAAAGACTGTGACACAGAAAAAAATAATAATATTGCAAAAGCAGGGCAAGGACTATTGACAACACACAAGTGTTTATGAGGGTCAAGCCCAGAGGCCACTTATCCAGGAGAGCACCCCATTCAGTAAGTCTAATGCCCAGATTTTGGCCACATGCAGCAGCCAGGTACCCAGATTCAAGTGGTCTATATCCATTACATATTTTATATTGATTTATTCAATTCTATTTCATATTCTCAGATGAAGCATGGCTTTCAAAAGTATTCGACTGCAAGAGTAATTTGGCTTAAAATAATATATATATACATTTTACTCTTAGATACAGAAAATGTTATAGACTAGATTAATGCATATTGTGATTTGCTCTACTGTGTATAACAACTGATAGAAATTGGTAGTCATATAATTTTAATTCATTTCTAAAATCAGACACTCAAATGAAATCAACGTATTGTTTAGTGCACTTCACAATTACAGAATATAAGGTAGTAAATCAAATCACACCAATGCAAATATGTATAGATCTCAATATAACTCCCAATAAACAACCTTCCATAGCAAAATACCTTATTATCCTCAAGTTTGTAACTGCGCAGTTCCATAAATTACACAAAGTCTTTAAACAACACCAGCATCACCCACCTGATGGACCATACCATGAAGATAACCGATGCTATGACAGCAAATGCAAGAGTGTTGGTGAAGTGTCGGTAGAGGGAGAGCTTAACCAGGTTGCGTCTCAGGCGAAGGATACGAGTGGTCTGCACAAGTCCTGTGAAAATCCAGAGGCAGATGGCTGACTCCAGAAGGGACAAAGGCAGGGAAGCTAGAAGGACCTGGAAAAGAAAATTAAGGGATTCTCAGTATGGCATGAATAAAAAAATACAAAAAAGTGAAGTAAAGTAAAGGAAAATTATATATAAAACATTATTTGTAAATCACCAAAGATTTACAATATGTTCATACTATCTACTTAATTTGTAATAGCAGGCAGATCCAGGTAGGTCTATATATACTATATTTTTAATTTAAGATATTTAGTAAGCAACATCAAATTTCAGATTTTTGACTACAAAGAAAGTATGATTATATTTATCTATTTTTATTTTCGGTATCAAATCTAAATGTAAAATATTACCTGTTTCTGTGGGTCACTTCTAGATTGTAGTGCTCTTGTACATCCTTCGATGCTTGAAAGCACAAAGTACAGAAGACCAACACCAACAACACGATGCAGAATCACACCTAAGCGTGGTCTGAAGAGTCAAATTGTACTTTATTTTCTTTTCAAACTGCTCTTGAGTAATGACATCCCTGATTTCATTATCAGAGATTATCAATAACTTTTATGTCATTTTCATGAGTTGTCTTTAGTCAGGAACCTGGTATCATCAAGTTTTTACTTGAAGTGACATATGACCATATAATACATTGTCTCTCTGTCTGTTAGTCTTTCTCACTAAAACTGTTTTTTTCTCCATTACATATTCAATACATGTACTATATACACAATCTCCCTTTCACATAATCATACATGAATATCCTCAATACCAACTCTTTAATCTGCTAGTAACTGCTGAGAGTGACAAACGTTTTCCCTTAATCCCATCTTGAGCCTTTGTCTTTCTCCTCTGGGGCACAGCATCCATTTTGCAGAATCTGCTGGCTAAGCTAGATTCCTCCAGACCTCCTCCTTCATTCTCTCAAGTCACATTTGTTTTCCAACTTACATTCTCAATCATTTTGGGGTTGGTTGATTTGGTTGCCTCACATGTAAACAGACTAACAACTTTTCTCACATAAACAATCAACAAAAGTGTATGCAGATATACAAAAGCACACATATGTAAGTGTACACACAGACACAAAATGTCCAATTTCTCAATTTCTGATCACATATATTTATGCCATCAGTATCCAATCTCATGTATAAGTTGTCTCTTGAATGTTATGGCTTATCTCTCTATTTACCTGTTTAACTGTTTTCTATATGACCACAATATGTATCAACACATAAACATAGCAAAACTAGTAACACTCATTCAATACAAGTACACTGTAGTATCCCTTTAGCAATATACCATGTTTGGACACCCTATTTCACAGGCCATATCACAGGTCTGCATAAAAAACAGATACAAAAAAATAATAACATATATCACTTACTTGACAATGCCAAATCCAAGAGACACGATAATGACGAGCATCCGGGCAAGAGTTCGCTTAGCGCATGAAGCTAGCTCTGCCAAAATGATGAGGCCTGGGACACTGTACCCATTCTGATTAATGCTGCTGTACTCAGCTGTGAACACTGCTTTTTCCAGCATACCTGTATGGATGGTAGAGATGTCATGTAAAAGGTATTTGAATTTAATGGATATAAGTGGGAATGGAGCAGGGTGATGAAGTAGAATATGGTGGAGGCAAGAAACAGAAGAGGATAGAAGAGGCAGAGGTAGAGGAGGAGGAGGAGGAGGAGGAGGGGAGGAGGAGGAGGAGGAGGAGGAGAGGAGGAGGAGAGGAGGAGGGGAGGAGGAGGAGGAGGAGGAAGAGGAGAGGAGGAGGAGGAGGAGGAGGAGGAGAGGAGGAGGAGGAAGGAGAGAGAGGGAGGAGGGAGGAGGAGGAG